CAAGTTTTGTGCAAAAACGCATGATCGCTCCGGCTCGCCTGGTGCGTTCCAGCCTACGTTTTTCTGTTTTTGCGTTTTAAGAATGAGATTTTAAGACTCACATTTTATCCTACCAAGCATGCTTGAATTGATACAAAATAAGGATAGCATATTCAGCCGTTGTACTCTCCGTGTTTTCGTTTTCGCACCCGAATTTCCAGGTCCGTTACGTAATCAGCGATAAAACGGGTACATTAACGCAAAACAAGATGAATTTCAAAATGTGCTCTGTTGGTGGCGTTAAATATGGTTCACGGAAATCGGATACATTCTGCGATCGGAAACTTCTCGACGATTTAAATGCAAAAGCGGTAAAATTTCAAACAAACATAAACAAGTTTCTGCAAAATTTTCTTCCTCAGAAATCAGCTGAAAACGCGAAAAACTAAACTTCTTTTGAAGCAGTGACAACCCCGCGCATAATGGCACCAAAAAATAATTTTGTAGAAAACGCTTGATAGTAATTACCATGTCTCCGTACTAGCATCAAGGTGAATTGAGTATTTGCCTCAAAATCTACAACCATTGCCATTATTGTCAAAACGAAGGCTTTTACAGTGACATTGTCTGTAAAGGTGCACAAAAAAATTTCTCGAAAATGAAACTTAACACTTTTTGAGCACTCAAAGTAGCCGTACAAACGTGTAACTGAGAAAGTGAGGAAGTAAGTAGGCTGCGGATCCAGGTGTAACTTATTCAACATGCAGTTATAGCTCAACAAAGTTATCGTTAACACAGCTCGCTTCTGCACATAGGATTTTTGGTCAAATTTCACAAATTGCTTTGCTACCTATAATTCGGGATTTTAACTTTTTTTACAGCCAAATGCAAATGCGATACGCGAGTTTTTAACGTTGCTAGCAATCTGTCATACGGTTGTTCCAGAGAAGATAACTGATGCGAATGGGGGGCATATGATTTACCATTCGCCGTCACCAGGTATCCAGTCGTTCAGTACAATTCAGGTGCTCAGATCCTAATATTTATCACTAGAACTCAAAATTTTTGTTACTTCGAACTCATTTCAAAACGCAGTGAGGATAAATCCATGCAGCTGCGATGGCCAGACCGACAGCAGTGTTTGTAAAAATTGACCCGTTGTAAACGATAGTAAGGTGTACTTTATGGTAGTGCAAATGAATGACCCTGAAAACATCTTTATGAGTTTACGTTCCACGCACAGACACGAAAAATTTCACATGGGAAATTTTCGGTTTGAGAGTCAGATAAGTTAGAAAATGCAACTTATCATAATCTCCTTTGGAAAAAGCTCGCTTCAAATCGCAAGTAGCATCGCATGTGCAATCAAGTTAAAATGGAAGCTTACAGTAAATTTGACTAAATGCCTGGAGAAGAGAGCACGAGATGGTACTAACTAGCTAAAACTTTTCAAAACTATTTGAACTTCCAATTAGGATTTTTTGAAGACTAAAATTGTTTTTGAAATGAAATTGCAGATGAGACAGCTCTGGTTAAAGGCGCACGCGACCTGAAATTTGTTTTTCATACACGAACTCCGCTCTGCGTTTACATCGAAGCTGTACGCCGTAACAATTTTTTTTCGCATTCAAAACTGCACTGTTTTTACTAGTTTTGGTTTCTGGAATAGAAAAATTAGAGGTGGTGCTTCGCGATTTAATCATCGCTCTGAGAATCGACAAATTATTTATTAATCTTGCCAAATTCACTGAATTTTATTGCATACAATGCTGTTCCTGGTCACTCCTTGCTTACGAGCACCGCGCACAATTTAAGCGAACCATTCCAAAGTGTTTGATTTATGAGCCTCCTTATGGTAGCACTCAGAAACAAGCACATCGCCGCCAATTTAGCAACCGGGAATCAAACGCCTAGTCAGCAATTTATTCTCATGAAAAATGGTGTTTCATAAATGATAGACAGTGATTGTCCGTACCATGAATTAACTTCTCTTTTTCTCTGTTCTTTTATTCTCTGCGTTCTCTCCCTGTTTTTTCGTTCTTTCGCATGTTCGTCTTACAATCAGTCACATGACTATTCAGTACATAGCAAGCAGGATATTGTACTGATGATTGCCACTCCTACCCGCACGCAAATTTTGGTCTCCGTTTGCAGCTAAGGGATGGAACACTGACTGCATTCTAACATATCTTCTTACACATGGCACTTAAGCCAAACCCTTCTATTCTACTATTCCATAATATTAACTAATTTTGTACAGATGGGCAGCGAGGAGAAGTACGATATCCTGAATGTGCTCGAATTTACCAGCAGCCGAAAACGCATGGGTGTGATCGTACGATGCCCGGACAATAAACTGAAACTGTATATCAAAGGAGCGGTTAGTACCAGTCTGGAATTGAACATGAATAAGACCGAGTTTGTCCTCCCCTATCTGGATAACTGAGGCATTTTCTGTGAAATGCAAAAACTGAAAAATTTTTTTGCATGCAGAAAATTTGCCATGACCGCTACAAAACATGAAGTCCTGTAATGATGCGAGTTAGTTGCTCTCTAATAACTGGTGTATAAAACAAGTCAATGATCGTTGCTACTGGACAGTCGAAAAAGTCCAAACACAAAAGAAGTCAATCGAATAAGTTCAAATGGTTAGCACTTTTGTGAAGTGGTAGATAGTCCAGGAAAACAGAGTTTACTATGGATGAGTTTAGTGTCAACAGCATCATGATTACATTGAAGTTTTACGAAAATGTCCAAGCGATTATATGGAAAGTACGATGTGAATCAAGTAGAAGTGTAAGGGTTCTAATAAGAACCACAACTCTAAACAACTCTACTACATGCCAATGTGATAATTATCTGTGAAAAAAGTAGTGATTTGAGCAATGCCTCAAATGGCACTAGGATTTTGCACGAAAAGTCCGAGACGGCACTGAAAATAGGCAGTAAGCAGGCCTACGGCTTGGTAGGCTGAAACACTCAATTATTTAATATAATTTCATATTTCCATGTACATCATGATTAATAACTCTGTTTCTGATTTATAATAAAATTCAGGACAATGTGATATTTCCGCGGCTAGTACCAAACGTTGATCAAGAAATAACTACCAGTACAACCAATCATCTTATCGATTTCGCTAATCTTGGTTGGTTTTTTAGTAATATGCTCAGCGAAGCGGTAAAACGTCCCTCTAAAATGGGCTAAAAGGATACTATTGCCTTATCTCATTGTTCTTTTGAAAACTGGTTATGTCTTCAAGTCAAAAGCAGGAGAAGTATAAACACCACAGTCATTGTCTAGGTTTTCGAACACTGTGCATGGCGGTGCGTGTAATCAGTGAAGAAGAATACGAGACCTGGGAGCCAGGCTATTACCAGGCCAGTGTAGCTATTGAAGGACGTGAAAAACTCATTGAGGCGGAAGCCGAAAAAATGGAAAAGGTAAGCAGTCGAACATCAAATGACTTATGACAAAGATTAACTAAAATGTTGATGTTATTCTGGCAAAAACTGCTTCGTCATAGTCCTATTATAGTGAGCTTATGTTGCTGAATCAAGCTTTTTTCATAACATTTCAGTAAGCATTTTTGATTATCAAAGTGTTGTGTTGACTTGGATAGGTTGGCAGAACTAATCAGCATTATCTTTTGTCACTTTTCTCGTGTAAAACATTATAATAGAGAATAGCAGGTGCAGTTTATCCATGCATTACAGAAGGGGATAAGATATGGAATGCGGAAGGCAATTTGAGAAAACTGTGAACTTATCCCATAAAATCAAAGTGTTCATGAATAATCTTTGGTTTTGCACGGTTGTGTAAGCTTTATTACCGTAAGCTGGTGCAGCTTATAGAAACAGGCACAAAAGAGATCATTGGCGACGCGCACTGGCGACGCGCACTGGCGAGCCCGTGCGATCATGCGTTCTTGCAGTGTTTGGTGCTGCAATAAGATCACTCGAAATTCCGCTAGCTAGAAACCTCATTACATACTGGTCCTTCAATTTTGGGAAGTTAATTATCTACGCTATACTTGGACAGGGATCATTCCCTTGAAATCCCAGGTTGTCAGCTTTCTCATTTCCCGAGTTACCCAAATTCAAGCCAGAAAATTCCACGGAGCCGTACGCGCAACCACACATATTGGGGAGCTGAATTTGATAAATTGAAGTTGTAGATGAGCTGGAAACATTTCTCGAAAGTTTCAGCCTCCCAGCTTCTCTGGTTCCGGAGTTAGCCATTTTCCAGCCAAAAATTTTCACGGGGTCGTACGTGGCAGCTATGCACGGTGGGAGGCTGAATTTGATAAACTTAAGTCGTAGATGGATTGGAAACATTTCCTGAACGTTTCAGCCACCCAGCTTCGCTGGTTCCGGAGTTAGCCATTTTCCCGCGAAAAACTTTCACAGAGCCGTACGCAAGAACCAGGCATAACGGGGGGCTGAATTTGATGAATTTAAGTTGTAGATGAGTTGGGAACATTTCCTGAAAGTTCCAGCCTCCCAGTTTCCCTGGTTCCGGAGTTAGCCATTTTCCCGCCAAAAGTTTTTTTTCATGGGGCCTTACGTGGCAACCACTCATAATTGGGGGCTGAATTTGGTAAATTTAAGTTGAAGATGAGTTGGGAGCATTTTCTGAAAGTTTCAGCCTCCCAGCTTTCTTGGTTCACAAACTAGCGATTTTCGTGCCAGGAACCCTCATAGGGCCGTACGCGGGAACTACGACCCCCCTCCCCGGGGGCTGAATTTGAAATCTTTGAGTTCTACTCGGACTGGAAACATAATCCCAAAATTTCAGCTTTCCAGCTTTTCTGGTTCTCGAGTTAGCGATTTTC